GGGGGGCCGGGAGGGTGGGAGGGGGGCAAGTCATTTCGCCGGGCCAGGACTGTGTGGGGGGGGCAACGCGAGTGCCCGAAGGCCGGAGCCGCCACTCGACGGTCCTGGAGTGTGTGAGGGGCAGTGAGGCGATCGCCTAAAGGCCGGTCGCCAGGCTGGGATTGCGGGTGGGGGGCAAGGCAGGGGAGCGGAGGCTGCCGCCGTCACCCATGTCTGAGTGGGCGCTGGGGAAGGCAGCTCACCGAATCAGTAGTGCCCTCGTAATCCTCTTCATCGAGCAAAATGAAAATGGCGTCCAGTGAAGTACACAGTCGCAGCAGTTGTGGGGTGGGCGGGATCCGGGCTTTGCCTTCTGATTGGTGGCGATATATGCTGAGGAGCAGTGCCATCAGCCATACACTAAGGGAGTGCATTTTAGAATTAGAACTTTGGCACCCACTACTCAAATATAATAAGGGAGAGATACCACCTGGAAGTTGGCAACCCTGTATTATCAGCAATGACAGTGCCAGCTCACCAGTCGCTTTCTGCAGCACTACCAGTTTGGGGAGAGAAGACAATGGGTGAGCTTTTTTCCATTGTGGCCTCACTGAGCTGAGAAACCCTGAACTGATGGGGAGCATCTCATGGGGGCCACCCAACGGGCCTTGCTCCAGGGCCATTCTCCACGCCCAGTCCAATCCTGCTCCCAGTGAAGTGGGCACTGGTGGACAGCTTGAGATCATGACCGAGTTTGAGAGCTGAGGTAGGTAAATTCCAGCCTGTGAAATTCCTGGAGATTTGGGGGTGCATGCCCAGGGAGGGCAGGTTTTGGGGACCTCAACAGAGCATAATTCAATAGTCTACCCTCCTAAGCTGCTATTTCCTACAGGGGAACTGTTGCCTGAAGACTAGTGATAATTCCAGGAGACCCCCTAGGTCCCAGCTGGAGGCTGGCAACCCAGTGGTTTCGTTCAGACGCGGCGTTTCAGCTGGCATAAACTGTACCGGTTGGAACCGGTGCAGTTTATGCCAGCTGAAACACGATCACACTTACCTCCCTCACAGCAGAGCCCATCGTTGTATGCCCGCTCACACACTATGGGCGTAGGCGTTTTTTTTTTTTATAAACCTCAATTTGAGCATGCGCATAGGCAGCCATCCACAGAATGGCGATCTTTGCGCATGCTCAAAACACCCCGTATTACATTTAAACTTTAAAGGCGAGGACTTACCTTTAAAGTTTAAAGCCCAAACTGGCCTCCCTGCAGTCCCAGACTCCTCCGAAACAGTAAACTAAGGGCCTTTTTTTTTTTTAACAAACGTTCAGGGTGACCCTTTGCCCAAGCACATATCGCATACATTTTTTAAAAAATGGTGGGGGGAAATCGGAAGCCTCAGGCTTCCGAACGGAAGTGCCTGTACAATGTTGGAGAGCGTTCAGACGGGGGGGGGGGAACAGCGATTACAACCGTTGAACTCAGGATACCACCACTTGGGGACCTAGTGGCAGAGTACAACGGTGTAAAGCTGTTTACAACGGTTAGGGAGGGAAGGCAGATGTTCGCCGTCTGAACGCCGGTAAGTACAACGGTTGCTACCAGCACAGATTCCGTTGTAAATGCCGCGTCTGAACGCACCCAGTCTGTGCTGAATCCAGAACCCAAGCTTGTAGATCTGCCTGGTGGACAGTCACAAACACACCCTTCTTTCACAGCGTCTGCTTGTCAAGCAAGCAGAGTGACCAGAAAACAAAAGCTAAACTGCTTGCCTTCATGTTTGCTTCCTTGTAAACCAGCTATTTGAGCAGCCAGAGCAGGGATACATTCATGCAAACTGTCCTATATTGTGGACCATTTCCCTTTTTCTTCTTCCGTTTTATCGTTTCACATCGCACCTCTTGCAGTTTCCACAACCGGGTCTCAGCTGTCCCATTGTGGAAACAGCAGGAGTTGCTACGTAAAACTATAACACGGAAGAAAAAAGAAAAGAAAAAATGCACGACAAAACAGGACTGTTTGCATTAATGTACCTATTGGGAAGAATGTTTGTAAACAGAAACTTTTGTTGATGGTGAAAAGGTGAATCAGTTACACTAAGCTTTGATAACACAAAGATATAGTTACTAGATGTCCACAACTTAGTCCAGCCTTCGCACCGTAGAGCGTTTACATTAGCCCGTCTAAATGTTTTCCCTTCAAAAATGCTCTCAGGTCGGTTTAATAAAATCCCCCTACATGAAAGGTTATGTTCTCGTCCTTTAAAATCTGCGGATTCAATATATCACATTATTTTTGACTGTCAATTTCACTCAGCCATACGCAAAGAATTGGTGTCATCTTTATTTCCTCCTAATTTTAGTTCTAATAGGGAAAAAGCTATTCAGTATCTACTAAAGGAGACTAATCCTAATATTACAACTTTAGTGGCCACGTTTCTTGCCGAAGCAGGCAAAGTTAGATCTATTCTTGTAAAGGAATGATTCGTATTGTTTATTATGTTCCTAAATATACTGTTATTGTATATCTATGTATCTTATTGCTATGCCATTAAAGGTATTTTACTTTGACTTTAGTTACTATATCACAGTTGTATTTTGCTATATCACAGTTTGTATTTTACTATATCACAGTTGTATTTTACCGCCTGGAGATTGGCACTGAAATTGAAGATCCTTCTGTTGTGGTGGCAGCTGCTGCCAAAGCAACCTTTTAAAAAATCTGTGCAACCAATCAAATCTCCAATGGCCAAAGAGAAGTCTTGCTGGGCAAAAGCCCACCTGACTTCACCCATTTTCTAAAAGAGGAGAAGAAGGAGGAGGAGGAGGAGGAGGAGGAGGAGGAGATTAGCTTTATACCCCACCCTTCATTACCAAAAGGAGTCTCAGAGCAGCTTACAATCTCCTTCCCCTTCCCCTCCCCACAACAGACACCCTGTGAGGGAGGTGGGGCTGAGAGAGCTCTGACAGAAACAGCTCTTTTTCAAGAACAGCTGTGCCAGAACTATGGCTTGCCCAAGGTCATCCAACAGGTGCAAGTGGAAGAATCAAACTCGGTTCTCCCAGATTAGAGTCCACACACTTAACCACTACACCAAACTGGCTCTCACACAAACTGGCAGGTGTTGGCAGGTGCTGTGACACCCAGGGATACCGCACTGGGGACCCCAGTACACCATAAAGTCTAGGATAAATAGAAGGCCTAGAGTGGTTGCAGACTGTGCATGCTCTAGGACGTCTGTTCGGGCCTTCTAGGACTTATTGGAGAAGGCCTTTAATTTTGGGCTAAGAACTAAGAGGCTCTTGTCTGCTTATGGCTCTGGCTGGCTTCTTTGGGGTACTGTGGTTTTAGGAATTCCATGTGACGTGACATAGATTGGAGGGAGTTAACCATGTGAACTGTTTTAGGCACCCTTTGGGCAGGAAAATGGTTAATAAACTAAACTAAATAATAAAAGCACAGCTGAATATGCAGTTTTCACTTTCGGAGCTGCAAACCAGGGGGATTCTGGTGTTTTCCAGAGCATCATTGCTACCCGAAAAAGTCTCCAAACAGCTGGATTGTTAGTGTGCAATCCCTGCCCCTTTCTTCCTGGAAGGGCCGACCAATAGAAGGGAGTGGAGCTGAAACTCTGAACAAACAAAGTTCCTTTCGCTTTTGCTGCCTGGCTGACATTAGCTGTTCTTTATCAGAAAAGGCAGCAAAGCCAGAGAGGCTTTTTAAAGGGAGGAAAGAGAGGCCTCCCCCTTCAGAACCAAGCCTCTTTTCACCCTGTGGATTCACAGCCTCTGCCGATTCTTCCAACCCTCCAAGATCAGGAACGGTAAGCCAGGCTCTCTTTGCTATTCATCCTCCTCTCGGTCTCTCCTGTATTCCAGCAACTCTGCTTTAGTGGTCAGAACTGACATTGTTTCAAATAGACCCTGGTGGTCAGCCGTTTTGGTCAAAAAAGCAACAGACCAAAGTTTGAGTCCAGTGGCACCTTTACGACCAACAAAGTTTTTTCAAGGTGTGAGATTTCGTGTGTATGCACACACCCTCACATAGATAGAAATGGAAATGTAGACAGAGGCTGAACAGCAAATGAGCATGATGAGGATGTTTTAAGACATAAACTTAGCTTGTTATTCTGGTTTTGTCCCCACATATCTTAAATTCTGAACGGTTATCTTCCATGTCGATGTATCTGAGGAAGTGTGCGTGCACACACAAAAAAACTCGAAACTTTGCTGGTCTTAAAAGTGCCACTGCACTCCAACTTTGTTCTATCATTTCAACTACTATGTTTTCTTTTCTTTTTTTTTTAATGTGGAAGGAAAGCAGGTTCCACCAAGGGCTGTGAGGACAGAGAAACCAGCAATGTCCCTGCCTTTTCTTCCTTTGAAATTATAAATCCAACTGCAGTTCAGCCTTGCAGGAAGGTTCACAGCTGGTCTGTCTGCTGTATCCAAAATTCCGTTTCAACAAAGCAGTGTCATTTAGGAGTGTTACTTACCGATAACAGTTATTAACTATCAACATGGGTCAAACAGGTTCCGTTTTAAAATTCAAAGGGCTTTGTGCCTTTGGTATGCACAGCTAGAAGTGCAGGTACATCTGCATGTTTTTTGGTATGCACAGCTAGAAGTGCAGGTACATCTGCATGTTTTTTAATGTTTTCCATGGTGTTCGTAACAGGAACAAGCAGGCAAAGCCTTTGCCTTCCCTTCATCTAGATCTGGCGTCCCCACTGTGGTGCTTGTGGATGCCACGTCACCTACCAATATCTTTCTTGGTGACTGGTGTTTTTAGAAAGTGGGTGGGGCCAGGTGGGACTTTTGCCTAGTGGAGCTTCTGATTGGCCATTGGAGGTTCAATGGGTTGTGAAGATTTTTTTTATTTTAAAAAACATTGTTTTGGCAGCAGCTGCCACCACGGCACAATAATCTTCACTGGGTGACTGAAGGTAAGCCACGGCAGCCATTTTGTGACTGACTCTGCCTCCTGAGGCAGCTATTTCCTGGCAGCCATTTTGTGGCTGCACTCGTCATACTGTGTCAGAATTCTGAAGGTGCCCAGAGTCTCAAAAAGGTTGGGGACTCCTGATCTGGACACTGGGTAAAAAAAAATAACATCCAGAATTTTTGCTTATCATGAAGAGAATATATCTTTGTTTTAGCACTTCCTCATCGCCCTACCATCTCCTTATTGTTGTTAAGCATATTTCAACCAATGCCCCCATTCTTGCACCATCCCAAAAGCATTCCCTTTCTTTGAGAGGGGAAATACTTGACGGATGTCCCCTTAGTTGTCGAAAAGTGCCAGAGCCCCACCAGAAAGAAACTCGACAACTGTAAGAGGAGCTTCTCATCGTAGAACTTGGAAGTTGGTAAATGAAAGAATGAACATTTGAATGTCAGCAACCATCTGATGACTTAACACTGTATGTGTCTATGAAAAAAATAAATGTAATGTCTGAGGCTGCTGAATACAGATTCTGAATATTGTCCATCTAGCTCATTATTGTATTCTCCTGCCAGCGGCTGCTTTCCAGGGTCTCCACCAAAGAAAGATCTTTCCCAATGCCCCCTGCCTCTTCCTCTTGTCATGCGTTCCCCTTCAGTGGGGGTGTAACAGTCAGGACTAAGGCTGTGGTGTCACATGCAGTTTCTGCTGATATCTTTGTGGTACCTTTGCGGATTTAAAGAGTATGATCAGACAGCAACATCTGCCTCCCATGCTCCAGTCGTTGCCACCCCATTCTGCCCCCCTTTGGAATAGGAGCAATGAGGCACTGGGGAAATTCTGGTGTTCACGGATATCAGCACTTTCACCCCACATTTCTGGATATCTGACCTACCCTGGTGCAAGCCCAACCCAGTTGGGAAGTCTGATCACTCTGTTCTGTTTTCACTTCTTGGTTTTTTTTAGTCAGTTAGCGATATGCACATAACTGCGTCTTCGTGCACACCACAAAGCTTTCAGTCCTTCTGACAGAGGTAGCATAATTACCAGCACTTCATACTCTTCATTATTGGTCATTAAATGTTCAAAAATGTTAAATTAGTTTTTACTGTTACATAATAGACTTTTGAGGCTACTTGATCCTTATATCTTGTTGTTGCTTGTTTAATGCTTTTGATGTTAATTTTTGTTAATGATTATTTTAAAATGAATAAAAAAATTTTTTAAATGGGGGGGGGGTTGGAGGAAAGGCAAGCTGAGACGGTTTGTTGTTTTTCAAACTGGTTCCTCTGCCTATTACTTTGCAGCACAAAGGGTGGCAAAGGGGTTAGTAGAAAAGATGAGGGTTTTTTTTTCCCAGAGGGGGAGGCAGCCTCCTCCAGCTGTCAAAATGGAGCAGTGCTTTGAAGTGGTTATGCACATATGCAAAAGACACATTTAAAAAAGAAGCCACCCAACTACTCACTCTGTGGTTGCCCCGCAGCAATAATCTGAGTGGTCGACCATGGGGCAAGTGCGCAGTGAGGCTGCTTTAGGGTGTGCTATCTACTCACCCCTTCCTACAATGGTTGAAACCACCACAAATAGAGGCACAGCCGGATCGTGCAAAGCCTCCAGTGTGTCCGCAGCCTAAGAACCTGGAAGAAGCCAAAACACAGTTACCCGAACATACTGTGTAGGACTGGTTAGCCAGAAGGGGAGATACTCTTAGATGAGGACATTCTCCAATATATTTATCTGGGCTCAAGACAGCATGTTTTTCTGGAATGTATTATGTTGGAATGGCAGCATATAATTTACAAGCATGACAAAGCATCCCCCCCCCATAGTTCTCTCCTTTTCATAGTTCTCCCCATTAACAAAAGCACCCCTCTTTCCGTTCTTCATCAGAGAGTCCAAGTGGTCTTGATTTCTGATTCTCAGCATGGCAACTTAGAGCAATTATGAGCCATAATATAAATGTGTTTCCCCCCCCCACTTCATTAAAATAATTCAAAACACACATGAAACTCAGAAAGTATAACACCATCTACCAGGCCGAGAAGGTTATCAGATGCCAAATGGCCGGGAAGATGGATGCCTTATCCACAACACTCTTCTTTCTTGTGCATGTCTATAGAGGACCAAAACCAGACGACAGCCGGGAGCCCCCCGCTCTGGCAGAAGATCGACTTGGCAACCCTATGCCTGGGTACCCTTGCCTTTAGAAATGAAACAAGTGGTGACCAAAGACAGGGCCTTTTTGGGCAATGGCACCTTATCTTTGGACAGTTGTCCCCAGAGTGTCTGCATTTGTTAGTGTTCATGCGCATTGTGGGGAGGAACTTATTTTCCTCTTGTCTGAGGGTGAACTGAGTTTAGCCATTTGTTTTGCTCTTGTTTTTCAATCTTCTACAGTACACCAATAAATGACATTGATTTGTCTTTCCAATAGGCTGTCTTCTAGAAAGATTCTGGTAAGTTGCTTTGGAAAAGTAGGGTATAAATACTTTTTCTGAATACAAATGGTAAAGACGTAATGCATCTGATGAGGGCAAGAGTCCAGTAGCACCTTAAAAGCTAACAAAATATATGGCAAGGTATGAGCTTTCCTGAGTCACTGCTCATTTCTTCAGATATCAGGTCTGATAAGGGCTTGTTCGTTTTTCTACCACGGGAGCTTTAAGTAAATTGACCCTCCACCGCCCACAGTTGAATCCAGATTACCAGAGTAAAATGTGATGAGAGGAGTTAACAATCACAAGATTTGTGTTTATTTTTCAGGTCAACTGAATCATCAAGAAGAGCCATGGGTGGGAAAAGTTCGACACCAGTGGTAAGCAATAAACCCGAAGAGAAGTCTGCCAGGGAAGAAGAAAATCTTTCAGATCTGACTGTGTCAAGAAAAGCCACACTTGACATTGCCGTCACAGGACTGACAGGTGCTGGTAAATCGTCCCTTGTCAACGCCTTGCGGGGTCTATCAGATTTTGATGAGGAGGCAGCCAAAACTGACGTGATAGAAGGAACAACAGAACCAATGGGTTACGCGCACCCCACCTTTCCAGATGTCACAGTATGGGACCTACCAGGAATTGGGACACCTAATTTTAAAGCCGAGGAATACCTGGAAAGAGTAAATTACAGCCAATATGATTTCTTCATAATCGTCGCTTCTAATTCCTTCACTGTCAATGACATCCAGCTGTCCCAGGCAATTCAGAAAATGAAGAAGCGGTTCTACTACGTGTGGTCCAAAATGGACATTGCCATTAGTAGCGAAAAACTGAACCCAGACTTCAATGAGGAAGCAACCCTTCAGAAAGTCAGGGAATATTGCCTTGATAATTTGGTGGAGGCTGGTATTTCTTCTCCGGAGATTTTCCTGGTCTCCAATTGGTACCCGGAAAAGTATGACTTCCCCCTCCTGCAGAGAACTTTAGAGAATGAAATCGAGGCTCTGAGGAAACGTATCTTAAGACCAGCTGACAAGTATGTTGGGTTTAATCAGTTGTTGATTTGATTTTCTTTCTGTATGAACAAAAAGTGTGCCCAAAAATGCAGACCTGGTTCAGGAGTGATGGAGGGGGGCAACTACATGGATTAGAGTTACCTATTTTTGTACCTTTACTCCAATTTTAAAAAGCTGCACAATACTTTTAAATATTAGTACAAGTATATTATGACGATCAAATATATCGTATATATTCAGTATATACGGTATAAATTCACTAAATGAATGCAAATCCCACTCCATATGGCAAAATAAATGTACTATGCACTTTTCTTTTCCTTCACCAGGGTATAAAGCTTTTGAGAGATGTGATTTCTGATTGGTGAAATGACCACAGGTGGAGAGAACAGTTTTGACTGTCTTTCCCAGTGTGTGGTGGGGCTTTTTTTGGCGGGGTCAGAAAAAACTAGAGTTCCAGTCGCAAAATTGCCTCTCTTTTCAATGCAGAAAATTAATCAAAAAAACAGCTTTTACTGTTTGATGCATTCCAGCATTACGCAAGACATGTCAACAACCACAGGATCTCTGGAGATCTGCCATAAATAAAACCTGTTCTGTTTTGAAGGGCACCTGGTGGTTGCATTGGATTTTTCCCCTGATAAGATCCATGGTGGCTTTTCTGTTTTATCTTGTTTTTATGTATTGGCATGCATGCCCTGATGTTAGCCGCCCTGAGCCCGTTTGCGGGGAGGGAGGCCTAGAAATTGAATGAATAAATAAATAAATAAAATAAACAACTGATGGTTGCTGCTATAGCTAGATTTATTGCTGTTTGTTACTATTGACATCAGTCCTGCTGTGCTAATCTTACTTCTTGCAGTTTCCTGTTCTTAGGTTGTTAAGGATGGCATTCTCTTTCAGGTTTTAAAATCTTTCTCTGTAAGTAGCCTAGAGCACTCACTTAATAGACAGGCGAGGGTAGGAACTTCCTAAATAAATGTTTCTTTTTTGTTTCTTAGAACAACCAAACCATCCAAAGGAAGCGGAATCCATTTCATCCTGCTCCAAAAAATCTTAAAAATTGACCTTGCAAAGCTGAGAGACGATCTGATGTATAGAAGTCTTGAAGAGGTGACTGAGGACATACGTCAAGAATTGGATGAATTACAAAATGTCAAGCTTGACATTGCCATCACAGGAGTGTCGGGTGCTGGTAAATCATCCCTTGTCAATGCCCTGAGGGGCATGGCCGATTATGAAGAAGGTGCAGCTAAAGTTGGAATAATTCAAACAACTATGGAGTGTCACGCCTATCCACATCCCTTATTTCCGAATGTAACCATATGGGATCTACCAGGAATTGGTACACCTGAATTTAGACCAAAGGAATACCTAGAGAAGGTCAATTTTAGCCAGTATGATTTCTTCATGATTGTCACCTCAGAACGTTTCACTGAGAATGATGCCCTCCTGGCCCAGGAAATCACGAAAATGAAGAAGACATTTTACTTTGTGCGCTCCAAAATGGATGTCAGTATGGCTGCTGAAATTAGGGACCCAAATTTCAATAAGGACAAATCAATTCAGAAGATACGAAGATATTGCTATGATAACCTGACTAAGGCAGGAGAATCTAATCCAAGGGTTTTCCTTGTCTCCAGGCAAAATTTGAGTATGTATGATTTCCCAGATCTGCAAGAAACCTTGGAAAATAATCTGGATGATCTCAAGAGACATGCCTTAATTCTGGCTATGCCCCTTTTCTCCAGAACAATCCTCAAAAAGAAAAAGGCTGCTATGGAGGCCCTTATATGGAAACTCGCTATTGTATCCTGTGCTATCGGGGCGCTTCCTGTCCCAGGACTTTCTTTGGTTTGTGATCTTGGCATCTTGGTAGGAGCATTGCTGCATTTCTATAAAGTCTTTGGCTTAGATGAAGCGTCCCTCCGCAGAGTTGCAAAAGTCTTTGGCAAAGATTACCAAGTTCTGAAATCTGCTATCAAAAAGTCTCCGATGTCCAGTGAGATTACACCCAAATTTGTAGCTGGCCTCTTGGCCCGGTCATTGCTCTGGGCAACTGTGAGTGTAATAGAACTGGTCTTGGATATTGTACCGGTATTGGGCTCTCTGTTTGGAGGAGTTAGTTCCTTCGTCACCACATTCTTCATGCTGAGGAGCTTCTTGAAGGACATCGTGGAAGATGCGGAGAACGTTCGGGCAAAAGCTACTGAGCCTTGACCATCACGATATCCCGTCACAAAGACCCAAGGCACCAATTGGGGAAGAGAGTCCCAGGTACAAACTGTGTGAAATCCTGTGCAGGACTAGAACTCGAGTATGAGTGAAAAAGGAAATTGGATTCGGATTTCAGATCAGAAGCTTATTTTTCTGTTAACCGACCCCCAACATAATTGAACTTTCCAGTATGAAATAACAAAAGAAATCTGTCTAGATGGTCCCAGTTTTGAAGCCTCCTTTCCCCATCCCTGCTTGTCCAAAGAGCTCTTCAGGGCCTCTGAAGAACCACAGGCACGGCACAATTCAAATCAGAATTTTCTTTCATAAAAAATGCACACTAGCTAATAGTATGTTCTTGTGACCTACTTTGATTGCTTTGCACTGCAGCCCTTAGTCTGTGACAAGCCTTTTACCATAGATCATCTGCAGCCAGCATGGCCATGGGAAATTTAACAAATTTCGGTCTTTTATTCCTTTGATTTCTGTACCAGTTTTTGCATTACATGAATAAATCTAACTTCTTATTCAAGTAAAGTGAGTGTTCTTCTGATTTCAAAGGAGGGGGTTCAACTTAGGGCCCTCTCATGCCCTACATTAACACCTAGATTCTATCAGCCAAGAAGAGCTTTCAGGCCCTTTAGGGAAGGGGGTGGTTGAAGACTCAAATTTCACAGAGGGGCTTCTCACCTGGATCTCTCCCCAGTCATCTATGCCAGTCAGGCTGTTCTGTAGCTCACTAGGGGGACTAGTAAACCGGAAAACAGGCTGACAGCGCTTAGGATGAAATGAAATACAATTTCTCCACTGTAATTAACAATGTTATTTTATAATAGCCAATAACACATCCACACTGTTACATATTCTGTCTTTCATATGCACACCCAAAATACAGGGGGAAAGTGGGTTCAAAAGTACAGGGAAAAAGTGGGTTGACGAAACTCCCCGGAGTTGATTTTCATTTCGTTCACAACTTCATCCAAACATACTGAAGCACCATGGTAGTCTCTCTTGAAAATCTACTGTTCATAGTGTCTTCGTATGATATTCCATGCCATGATTTCAAATACTAGAATGTATCCTCATCCATTTTACTGGAGAATCTTATCCTGGGCATACAAACAGATCAATTTGCCCGGGCGTACAAACAGATCAATATGCCCCGGATAAGATTCTCCAGTAAAATGGATGAGGATACATTCTAGTATCCTCGTCATAGTCAAGCAAGCAGAGTGAGCAGAAAACAAAAGCTAAGCACAATAGCACTACAGTTAAGATTAGAATCCACATGCAAAAGAACCTCCTCAGGAAAGCTCTTCCGTTAGCATGTTCACAGCTTGGGGAACTCCTACAAGAGAATGACTCAGCCCTACCCCACTTTCCTGAGTAGATATAAATGACCTGCCTACCATTTTTCTTCTCACCTTGACACAGAGAGTACTCCATCTTTCTGTGTTATACCTCTGAGGATGCCAGTCACAGCTACTGGCGAAACGTCAGGTCCTACAGTGCCAAGACCATGGCCATACAACCCGGAAAATCTACAACAGCTAATAAAAAAGCAAAACTGCTCGGTTTCGTTTTTACTTCCTTGTAAACCAGCTATTTGAGCAGCCAGAGCAGGGAGGAGGGTAAACTCCTGGAGGGAAAGAATAACCAGCATGTAACAGTTCAGCTCAACTTCCTTTTGCAAAAATAACTTGGCTTGGCAGCCGCAGATAAGCCACGGCAGGGCCATTATTTCCAAGTGCCCCCTTGTTTTGGGGATACTCCTCCCCAACATCTAGGAACACCCCATTTTGAATGCTGATCCCGTGCTGACACCAGTTTGAATTCTGTTTCAGGTCCAGAGCATCATCTCACACAACACACTTTTATTTTATAGCTGGTCACTTTTTAAGTGCTGGTTTCGGTATCTTGAGGTACATACATGCCAACAAGCAAGCAATGTAAGGGGGGAAAATCCTTGCTGGTCAGAGCCAAATTTCGCATGCGCTGCCTTCCTGGAGTTTAAAATCTGTCTCCCCTAAAAGTGTCTTTCTCTGCTCACTGACTGCCTGCGTCCTCTCCTTTCACCCCATCTCCCCGAGATAGCCCATCATATGCCTTCATTGCTCTCCCTTCCAAAGCAATTTTTCCCCGAGGAGTTTGCTGTGATCCCCCCTGGGGAAGAGGGAGCCTGAAACAAAACTCTTCACCTAGAAGATGCCAACTCTGCCCTCAGATCCACCCAACAGGCCCGGGACCCAGCAAAATCGGCCAGACGTCCACCTGCACCGGAGATATAGGCTATCAAGGGCCTGTTTTCCATTTGCATTGGCCAAACCGAACATTCAAAATGGAAATGCCTAGAAAACAGCAGGGAAGCCTTTTGGCTTCTCTGGACATTCATTCAGTGGCCTTAAACTAGAAGAACTCTGCATAAGATTGTGCTGATAATTTTTCGACTGGGTCTTGCTTCTCACCTGTGTTTTCCGGTGTAAGTCCAGGTGTGCCAACCTCAAGGCCGGGGCCTGGGGTTCTCCTGGAATGACTGTCGATCTGCAGACTGTAGATATCAATGGCCTGTAGGAAATGGCAGCTTCAGAGGGCAGTCTCCATGGCATGCCACAGTGGTCCCCACCTTTCTGAGCCCGTGGGCACTTCCTAGGGTTGCCAAGTGTGATTTTCGCCGCAGCAGGGGACTCCCGGCTGGCGGCTGAACTGTGCGCGCGCAAAGCACGTGCGCGAAGCATGTGCGTGCCGCATCCACGTCACTCGGAAGTGACGTGACCACGCCGGGCACGCTGGGGGCAGGGCCACGACCATCCGAGGGAAAACCATAGAGTCACTTCTGGGTGATGTGCACGTCGGGGTGGGGTTCCCCCCGGGGCCCGATCCACCAGCGGCAGGGAACGGGCCTCTGGGGCGGGGTTTTCCCCGCCCCCTGGGGGGACTTGGCGAGCCTAGCACTTCCAGAATTCTGACACAGTGTGGTGGGCACAGCCAATGGGTGCCATAAGAGGTAGAGCTAGCCACAAAATGGCTGCCTCACTTTACCTTCAGTCACTCAGTTAGCGTTGCCAGCTCTGGGTTAGCAAATACCTGGAGATTTTGGGGATAGTGTTGCTGCCAGAGGTGCTTACTCCAAGAGCTTACAGTCAGTGTTCCCTCTAAGCTGAGTTAGTGTGAGCTAGCTCACAGTTTTTTAGCCTCCGGCTCACACATTTTTGCCTTAGCTCAGGAAAGATGGCTCCGGAGCAAACTGATTTATGCAGCAGCCAAATTGCTTGCTCACGACGTTCATGCCAGTAGCTCACCAAGTAGAATTTTTTCTCACAAGACTCCACAGCTTAGAGGGAACATTGCTTACAGTAGCCCCTGTAAGAAGAGCTCTGTAAGCTCTTGGAGGATTGGCTACATTAGGGGGTGTGTTGCCTAATACGCAAAGGAGTTCCTGCTACAAAAAGAGCCCTGGATAACTATATCTTTGTATTATCAAAGCTTAATGTAACTCCTTCACCTTTTCACAATCAACAAAAGTTTCTGTTTACAAACATTACACCATACATTTAAGATGTTGAGAGCCAGTTTCGTGGAGTGGTTAAGAGCACGGACTTTAATCTGGGAGAACCAGGTTTGACTCCCCACTCCTCCACATGCAGCTGCTGGTGTGACCTTGGGTCAGTTAAAAGTTCTTTCAGAGCTGTTCTCTCACCCTACCTACCTCACAGGCATTGCTCCCTCTAAGCTATGGAGGCTTGTGAGCAAAAATTCTACTTTGTGAGCTACTGGCATTAAAGTTGTGAGTGAGCGATTTGGCTACTGCACAAATTAGTTTGCTCTGGAGCCATCCTTCCTGAGCTAAGACAAAAATCTGTGAGCTGGGGGCTAAAAAAACTATGAGCTAGCTCACACTAACTCAGCTTAGAGTGAACACTGCTCACAGGGTGTCTGTTGTGAGGAGGAGAAGGGAAAGGAGATTGTAAGCTGCTCTGAGACCCCTCTGGGTAGTGAATGGTGGGGTATAAATGCAATCTCCTCCTCCTCCTCCCCCTCCTGAATACATGCTAAAAGACACATTAATGCAAATAGTCCGATTTTCTGGCCAGTTTTTCTTTTCTTTTTTCTTCCATGTTATAGTTTTACATAGCACCTCCTGCAGTTTCCACAATGGGGGTCCAAGCCATCCCATTGTGGAAATTGCAGGAGGTGCTATGTAAAACAATAACATGGAAGAAAAAAGAAAAGAAAAACAGACCACTATATCAGACCCAGACCTGGCAATGCTAACTGTTTGCATTAATGTATCTATTGGCATGTATCCATCCTTAGAAGTTTGGTGGAATGTTTGAAAATAGGAACTTTTGTTGATTGGGCAAAGGTGAAGGAGTTACACTAACCTTTGATAATACAAAGATACAGTTACCATATCAGGGATGTATTTTGTTGTTTACCACCTGGAGATTGGCAGACCCAGTGTGGTGGCAGCTGCTGCCAAAGTAACTTTTTAAAAAATCAAATCTTCAATGGCCAAAGAGAAGTCTTGCTGGGCAAAAGCCCGCCTGGCTTTACCCATTTTCTTTAAAATATAAACTTGACAGGTGCCAGCAAAGGTGTTGGCAGGTGCCATGCCACCCATGAGCACCACATTGAGGACCACAGTATACCATAAAGTCTAGGAGAAATGGAAGAGCTAGATTGGTTGCTGTTGGGTTTGCAAGTTAAAACACTTCAGCAATAATAGAGATAAGTTTTGACTGTGTTTCATTAACAGAAAGTCACATGTTTTGTTATACCCAATATGTTTACTAAGTAGAAAAGCCCGGGAATTTTGTGGGAGGTCTTACTGTAATGACTTGAAGTTTAGCCCTGTGATTGGAGATCAATGTATTGGCTATTTAGCATGTTGGAGTTTATGTTTCCTGCCTTGTCTCTTGAAGAAGAAGACAACGCCTTTTTCTTTCGCTAAAGATGTAGGGATTTAGTCCTTTCTTATATTGCATCCTGTTTACCTTTTCCATGTTAGATTTCTAGTAAACTTTTATATTTTACAAACATACACATGACTCAGTCACTCTATTTTTTGCTCTGCTGATTTTTATATCTGCTTAACTATATAGAATCCCAACAGTTGCAAACAGTGGATGCTCTAGGAAACAGGTGTCAAAGTCCTTTGTTATGAGGGCTGGATATGACATAAATGTCACTTTGTTGGGCCAGGACATGTATGCCATAATATGTAACACACGGTATTGGAGATAAAACTTTTTAAAGATTATTTCAGATGCTGAATGGCAATAGCAGGTGTGATTGAATTAGGTGTGATCTGCAGAGGGGTGGAGAGAGCAGCATTGGTGTGATATACAGAGGCGTGGAGATATCAGCATTGGTAATGAGATGGGAAACCTAGATCTCAGTTTGGTACAGGAGGATTCAGTCCAGAAGGATGCAAAGAATAAATGGAAATAAGTCTGAAGAAATGAGCAGTGACTCACAAAAGCACATACCCTGCCACAATTTTGTCTGTCTTTAAAGGTGCTACTGGACTCTTACTCTTTCTACCACTATTAGAAACCACAACATTCAAAAACCAGTGGGGGAACATTTTAACCTTCCAGGGCATTCAGTTGCTGACCTAACAGTAGCAGTTCTCTTACAATGGAATTTCAAAGGGAGATTAGAAAGAGAGACTGATGAATTGCAATTGATCATGAAGCTCAAGACAACACAGACTCCTGGACTGAACTGAGACCTAGGTTTCTTCTCTCATCACCAATGCCTGCTATTGTCTTTCGGCATCTGAAATCACCTCACTCTCTAAGGTATAAGGACAGATGGACTCACATTCCAGCTGTATCTGAAGAAGCGAGCAGTGATTCATGAAAGCTCATGCTCTGCCACAAACTTTGTTAGTCATTAAAGTGCTGCTGCACTCTTGCTCCCTTTCACTAATAGGGAATGCAAGCTATGCTGTTAGGTCACCCCCACACCTGTTAGAAATGGAAAGGGCGATCTCTCCAAGAGCCATGGTATGGGCTCTCTCTCTTTCTCATACCAGAAATAAAAGGTTTTTTGGTCTTAAACACAGGAATCCCCGCCATACCTGGAAGAAAACATTTTTGCATCTTAAACACAGGACTCCCCCCCCCCCCATACCTGGAATAAAAGATTTTTGTATCTTAAACACAGGACTCCCCCACCATACCTGGAATAAAATGTTTTTGGGTCTTAAACAAAGGGATCTTCCTCCCCATACCTGGAATAAAAACATTTTTGGGTCTTAAACAAAGGACTCTCCTCCTCCATACCTGGAAAAAAATGTTAAACAAAGGGCTCTCTCACTTTCTGGTGTGCTCCCTTTGGCTCACTCCCTTCCTCTGAAGGAAAAGTGTGCTTCTACCTGGAATAAAATGCTGCTGGTCTTCTTAGAAGTCCCATGAGATGCTACCCCCCCAGCTCTTTCCCACCTCCTCCCTCCCCAGAGGGGGAGGGGGGAAGAGCCTTCAGCCAATGAAGGGAAGGCTTTATTTCTCTCCTATGAAGCAGAAGCTAGGAGAGAATGGCCGGAAGGAGCTGTGATGGTAGATACAGGAAGCAGCATAGTCAGCTGTTCTTGGGCTGGATTGACACCCCATGCTCTAGGACAGTGATGGCGAACCTTTTAGAGACCGAGTGCCCAAACTGCGACCCAAAACCCACTTATTTATCGCAAAGTGCCAACACGGCAATTTAACCTGAATACTGAGGTTTTACTTTAGAAAAAAAACAACTCATACATTAACTTAAGATGATCCAAACAAAGTAAGGAAAGCAATCCCAAATGCTTTCATTTACTTAAAATTATTTGGCAGAGAATTAGACACTTTAATGATGGTCTGGGCCTGGCTGGGGTGATGGCACGCGTGCCCACAGAGAGGGGCTCTGAGTGCCACCTCTGGCACCCGTGCCATAGGTTCGCCACCACTGCTCTAGGACATCTGTTCAGGCCTTTTGGAACTTATTGTTGCAGAAGGACTTTAATTTTGGACTAAGAACAGAGAGGGTCTTGTCTGCTTACAGCTCTGTCTGAATATTTTTTTTGGATACCACGGTTTTAGGAATGTCATGTGATGGGACATAGATGGGGGGGAGTTAACATGTAAACTGCTTTCTTTAAGTACACTTTGGGCAGGAAAGTGGTTAATAATTATACTAAGCTCAATAAATAATAAAAGGACAACTGAATATGCAGTTTTCACTTCAATTGCTGCTACCTGAGAAAGACTCCAACCAGCTGCATTGTTAGTGTAAAATCCCTTCCCCTTTCTTCCTGGAAGGGCCGACCAAAACAAGGGAGTGGAGCTGAAACTTGCTTTCGCTTTTGTTGCCTGGCTGACTTTGGCTCTTCCTTTATCAGAAAAGGCAGCAAAGACCAGAGAAGCTTTTTGAATGGACAAAGGAGAGGCCTCCCCCTCCGGAACCAAGCCTCTGTCCACCCTGTGAGTTTACAACCTCTACAGATACTTCAACCCCGCCAAGATCAGGAACGGTAAGCCAGACTCTCTCTGCTATCCGTCCACCACTCAGCCTCTCCTGCATTTCAGCAACTCTGCTTTAGTGATCAGAACCGACATTGTTTCAAAATACCAGGTTTTAAAAAAATGTGGGCGCAGAGCAGATTTAACTGAGGGCTGCAAGGAGAAAGAAGCCAGCAGTGTCCCTGCTTTTTCTTCCTTTGAAGCCATAAATCCAGCTGCAGTTCAGCCCTGCAGGAAGATTCACAGCTGGTCTGTCTCTGTCTGCTCTATCCCAGATTCCATTTCAACAAAGCAGTGTAATTTAAGAGCGTTTCTTACTGTTACTGGTTACAGTACAGTGAGTACCGTGAGAGCCAGTTTGGTGTCGTGGTTAAGGGAGAATCGGGTTTGATTCCCCACTCCTCCACTTGCACCTGGCTGGATGACCCTGGGCAAGCCATAGCTCTGATAAGAGCTGTTCTTGAAAAAGAGCCGTTTCTGTCAAGAGCTCTCTCAGCCCCACCTGCCTCACAGGGTGTCTGTTGTGGGGAGGGGGAGGGAAAGGAGTTTGTAAGCTGCTCTGAGACTCCATTGGGTAGTGAAGGGTGGGGTATAAATCCAATCTCCTCCTCTTCTTCTATTTTTACCTCACAGGGTGTCTGTTGTGGGGAGGGGAAGGGAAAGGAGTTTGTAAGCCGCTCTGAGACACATTTGGGTAGTGAAGGGCGGGGTATAAATCCAATCTCTTCTTCTTCTTCTACTTGTTACTATCAATATCAAACAGGTGCTCTTTTAAAATACAAAAGGGCTTTGTGTCTTTGGCATGCACAGCTAGGACAGCAGGCACATTTACTTGCTTTATGATGTTTTCCACGGAGTACATAACAGGAAGAAGCAGGTGAAGTGTTTGCCTTCCCTTCAAGTAGATCAGGGGTCTTCAATGTGGTGCCCATGAGTGTCCACGAATACATTTTCTGGAGCCCACCCAGTGTCTTTAGAAAGTGGATGAGGCTTTTGCCCGGCAAGCCTTCTGATTGGCCATTGGAGGTTTGATTGGCTGTGCAGATTTTTTTGATATTAATAAAGGGGTTGTGCAATATCTTTTGTGATATTTTAAGAGACGATACTTAGATGTTTTCATACATGATGTATTATGGCTTATATGATAAATAATATATGGTGAATAAATTGTAAAAATATAAAACAAAAAATATACAAAAATTATTTGAGATATTCGTCTGTAGCACAGTATTTGCTGATTGACGGTAAGCTGTGGCAGCCATTTTGTGACTGGCTCTGCCTCCTGAGGCAGCTATTTCCTGGCAGCCATTTTGTGGCTGCACCCATGATACTGTGTCAGAATTCTGAAGGTGCCTCCAAGCTCCTGATCTGGACACTGGGTAAAAAAAATCACATCCATATTTTTTGCTTATTGTGCCATGAATATATCTTAGTTTCTTCATCATCCTCATGTTCCCTCTGTTGTTGTTAGCTATATTTCAACTGATGTCCCCTTCCTGTACCATCCCTAAATATTCCTCCCTTCAAGAGGGAATATACTTGGCGGCTGACCCTTTAGCTGTCGAAAGGTGCCAGAGCCCTGCCAGAAAGAAAATTGGCAACCCTAAGAGGACCTTCTCATCACAGAACTTGAAAGTTAATAAATGAAAGAATGAAAATTTGAGTGTCACTATTCAACTTAACATAAGAACATAAGAGAAGCCAATGTTGGATCAGGTCGATGTTCCATCTAGTCCAGCACTCTGTCACAGGGTGACAGAGTGCTGGACTAGGTGCCATCAGGAGGTCTATCAGTGGGGCCAGGTGCCATCAGGAGGTCTATCAGTGGGGCCAGGACACCAGAAGCCCTCCCACTGTTGCCCCCGCCCAAAGCACCAAAAATACAGAGCATCCCTTGCCCAAGCCTGTGAGTTCCTATCTATACCTCGTGGCTAATAGCCACTGATGGACTTCTGCTCCATATGCAGGCCCGTAGCCAGGATTTTTTTAGTTGGGTGTCTGGACCAAGGACAACCCCTCTCCCATTCTCAGGCGCTGAACTCACAGCCACCTGGGGCCCTCGGGGAACTCACCGGGTCCTGGTCCTTTGTTAAGGCTCTTTAGCATCTGGGTTCCCTTTGAGGATGTACGTAGATGTTCAGCAAGTACTCCTGGCACAGCAAATTTTTAAAAAGTCTCTCTGCATTTATTCAAATTGTTCAAATAATGAAGAGTGTTTGCTGGGCAGAAACCACTCACAAATCACAACATTGGCAAAACAACAACAACACTATACTCGTGCTGGGCAGAGGCCTAGTCTCTGAATCACTAAATACTTGGAGGCTTCCCTTTGTGGGGGTGATCTTAGAACTCGACTGTCTCACTCAAAGGCTTAAGAAAGAGAATCTGTTCTGATAGGAACGGTCCTTGGTATTCTGCTTGAAGCTTTGATTCAAGTCTTCTCCGATAGCGCTGCCGTCCCGATAGCTAACCTGCTGAGGCTGTCCGGCATCTCCCTTTTGTCAGCCCCCATGACCCCTGTTAGTCAATCAGGGCATAGTTGACTAATCCCCATTGCTAGCCGGGAACCAGATAAAAGCATCTCATGCCAGCTGGTCAAGGCCCCCAGGTGCTTTTAATTAATGCTTGGCCCCAACAGGCTGCAACTAACCTGTAAGAGCTTACAACTTGATCGCACTTAATGAAAGCCTCAAAATCTACAAGTCCTGATCAATGTTCCCCCTAAGCGGAGTTAGTGTGAGCTAGCTCACAGTTTTTTAGCCTCTGGCTCACACATTTTTGTCTTAGCTCAGGAAAGATGGCTCCAGAGCAAACTAATTTCTACAGCAGCCAAATCACTCACTCACAACTTTAATGTTAGTAGCTCACAAAGTAGAATTTCTGCTCACAAGACTCCACAGCTTAGAGGGAGCATTGGTCCTGATCCTTACAATGGGGAACATTTAAATTTCTTAGGGGGCATTGCTTAATCAAATTAAAGGAATACCCGGCTCCTTCCCTGCACCAACCACTTCTTGGGGGCCCTGGGCTGGATGGCAAGTCGTGGGGCATTGCCAGTAAGTCGGGGGGGGGGACTACCCCCAAGATGCCCACCTTTTATACTGTTTTGTTGTTGTTCAGTCGCACAGTCGAGTCCAACTCTTTGCGACCCCATGGACAAGATCTCGCCAGGCCCTCCTGTTTTCCGCTGTCCTCTGAAGTTTGCTCAATTTCATGTAGTTGTCCCTCAAAAGAATAAATCTAATACACAAGGCTGCTGAATACAGATTCTGAATATTGTCCACCTAGCTCATTATGGTATTCTCCTGCTGGCAACTACTTTCTGGGGTCTCCAATGGAGAAAGACCTTTCTCAGGGCCCCCTGCCTCTTCCTCTTGTCACATGTTGCTCTTCAGTGGGGAGTATAACAGTCAGGACAAAGAGCCTGGAAGAAGCCAAAGCTCAGTTACCTGAATTTACTGTTGTAGGCCTGGCCAGCCAAAAGGGGAGCTACTCACTCTTAGATGAGTACATTCTCCAATATAGTTAACTGGGCTAAGGAAGGCATGTTTTTCTAACACGCAGAGGAGTGGGTTATATCACATCATGAACCTCACAAATTGAGCTGGTTTCTTTAGACCCTAAACATTTATGATGGCTTGTGGTTCATGAAATGAACTGAACCACATTCTCCCAGTTTGTGCACACCCCTAAGCATGTCTGGGTACCTTTGACCTTACAAATGAAGCAAGTGAACTGATGACCAAAGCCAGGGCCTTTTTGGTGGTGGCACCATGTCTCTGGACAGTTGTTCCCAGGGTATCTGGCTTTGTTAGTGTTGATCCACACTAGGGTGAGGAACTTCCTCTTTTTTGGAGGTGAATTGTGTTAGATCGCGCTAACAAAGGACTCGTAGAGTGATTCAGCAAGTGATTCAGCTTTATTAGAAGTAACGAACAAGCACTAACTCAGTAAGAAACCAGAACAGAAAACAGTGGGAGCTTATGCTCCTTTTAAACATAACCGGGCTAATGTAGCCACGCCTATTTACAAATAACAACCAATGAGATTGCTTGGATAAGGGCCAATGGGAGTCTTTCCCTCCTAGGGAATGGTATCGTTCTGATTGGTCGCTGTTACGAAGCGACCAATAGGAAGTTCGCTCAGAGGAGCCCTGGTCTGGCTCGAAGCTTAACATAGGAGTCCTATGAGGTGATTCATGTAATCAGTTCAATACATTACAATTCCTCCCCCCTAAGTTAAGCCATCATCCCAATTGTTTTATTATTTACATACATTCAAGTCATGCTGTTGTACATCAACTGTTCCAAAATACTTTATTACACTCGTAGTCTTTTAGATAAGTCGGCATCTGCCGCGTACGCTGAGACCTGCGAAGCGGTGCAGGCTCTATAGACACACAAGGTTGTGAGTCACTGTGGGGTTCACTACAGCCTGGTTCAGGCACAAACTCTACTGGGATTTCAGCCCCGCACACAGGGTTCTGCCCTGACTCGGGGACAGTACCGGGCCTTTCGGTACTCACCGCCTGCTCTGGGGGTCTCCACTCAACATCAGGGGAATCAGCCGTCGGAGAGTCAGCGCTGTCCCTAGCCCAACGTCTCCTTAACGGATCTATGTGGCGCCGCCATATTCGACCGTCAGCTAACTGCACCACATACATTCGAGTACCCACAGAGTCGGATATAACCCCAGGAAGCCACAAGTGCCCGTTTGCATAATTTCGTGCGAAAACCTTGTCCCCTTTTTCAAACATGCGCACCTTCGGTTGCGCCGTGGTACGCTCGGATTGCTCTTCAGTGAGGTCTGGGTGCATTCGGTTCAAACGGGTCGTGAGTCTCCGCCCCATTAACAATTCGGCCGGACTACGGCCTGTAGCACTACAGGGGGTGGTGTGCTGCAGCAAAAGAAAGGAGCCCAGCCTCTGGCTCCAGTCCCCTTCGTCCATTTTACCCAGGGCCTCTTTGGCCGTCCTGACCATCCGTTCGGCTTGGCCATTAGATGCCGGATGGAAAGGGGCCGAAGTCATTTGGCGTATGCCATTACTCGTGAGGAAGAGCCTAAATTCCTCAGACACAAATTGAGGCCCGTTGTCACTGACGATGACGTCAGGCAACCCGTGGGTGGCAAAAAGTCGGCGGAGCGCATGGATCACAGCAAGTGATGTGGTCGATTTCATATGCACGACCTCCAGCCATTTGGACATAGCGTCCACCACAATTAGGAACATTTGCCCTTGGAGAGGGCCAGCAAAATCTATATGCAATCTGGCCCAGGGTTTACCAGATGACTCCCAGCCTTGGGGTGTAGCTTGTGGGGGATCGGGTCTGACTTGCTGGCATTTGGGACACCCTCGTACCCATTCTTCGATCTCTTTGTCCAGCCCCGGCCACCAGACATACCCTCTGGCCAACGCTTTGGTGTGTACCATACCGGGGTGACCCTCGTGCAGCGACTCTAACACTCTCGTCCTGAGTTTGTCAGGAACCACCACCCTGTTCCCCCATAATACACAGCCCTTAGAAATGGATAGTTCATTTTGACGGCTTTTGTAAGGGCCGAACTCCGGTTCAACGCTTCCAACCGGCCACCCCCTCCAAACCCAGTTTAATACTCGGGACAGCACGCTATCCTTGGCCGTGTGTGCTGCAATGTCCCTGGATGATACCGGGGGTCGAGGAAGCTCCTCAATTGCCAAGACCTCACAGGCGGGGGCAGGGTCTGCGCCAATGTCCGGCACCGGGCACCGGCTGAGGGCATCCGCATGCCCAATCGCTTTCCCAGGCCGGTGCTCTAAGTCAAAATCATAAGCCTGCAAAAATATCGCCCATCTAAGCATGCGTGGGGACATGATGTTTGGCAATTGCTTATCGGGCGCAAAAATCCCCAGTAGCGGCTTGTGGTCAGTGACCAGCAAAAATCGTCTGCCAAAAATAAAATCATGGAACTTTTTGACAGCCGCTACCAACGCCAGACCCTCCTTGTCTATCTGGGCATAGTTCCGCTCTGCCGCAGATAGTGATCTAGAATAAAAAGCGATAGGCGCTTCGCTCCCATCAGGCATCAGATGGCTTAAAACTGCGCCTACTCCAAACGGTGAAGCGTCAGCAGCTAACACCAGGAGCTTGTGTTCATCATAATGCGTGAGTACGGCATTAGATGTCAGCAGCTCCTTGACTCCCACAAAAGCCTTTTCCTCGGCCTGCCCCCACTTCCATTTTGCCTCCTTGTGCAAAAGCGCGTGCAAAGGGGCCGCCACTGATGCCTTATGCGGTAAAAACGCATGATAAAAATTCAGGAGTCCTAAAAAGGATTGGAGCTCCTTCTTACTCACCGGCCTGGGGGCGTTTTGGATTGCAGATACCTTCTCATCCGTGGGGTGGACTCCCTCTGCGTCAATGCGAAACCCCAGGAAGTCCACACTTTCCACCCCGAGCGTGCATTTTGAGCGCTTAACTCTGAGGCCGGCATTTTGAAAACGCCTGAGGACCTCTTTAACCCGGTCCAGTAGTTCCTGTTCAGACCCGCCCGCAATCAGCACGTCGTCAAAATAGGGCACTGTGCCAGGTACCCCCCTTAGTAGACGTTCCATGAGGCCCTGAAAAATCCCAGGTGCTACGTTGACCCCGAATTGCAGCCTGTTCACTTTAAAAGCCCCTTGGTGGGTTACAATTGTTTGGGCCTCGGCAGCCTCCGGGGTGACAGGCAACTGCTGGTATGCCTGGGCCAGGTCAAATTTGGCGAAAATCTTGCCACCCCCCAGGGAAGCCAAAATGTGGCTTATTACCGGGACCGGGTACGAATGTTGCTGCAGCGCCTTGTTAATCGTACATTTGTAATCGGCGCATAGTCGTATGGACCCATCTGATTTGACAGGGGTTACGATCGGGGTCTCCCATTTGCTGTATGGTACTGGCTCTAAAACCCCTTGCTCAACTAGTTTGTCAATCTCTTTTTCCACCTTATGTTTGAGAGACACAGGTACTTTCCGATACTTCAACCTAATAGGTTTGACTGACGGATCTAAGTCAAACGCAACCGGGGGGCCCTTGTACCTTCCCAACCCTTCGGCAAATACATCAGGGAACAGGTCGTACAGCATGCCCCATTTATTTTCAGACATCCTGTTAATCCCAGAAATACCGATGCCCAATGGCTCAAACCAATCTAACCCTAGCAGGTTAACCCGGTCTCCCTCTGCAATCAGGAATGACAGTTTAACACATTTCCCCTTATACTCAACAGTAACAGAGTCCCGTCCGGCCAAGGGAATTCGGTTGCCCTGGAAGTCGGACACTCTGGTTCCCGCAGGCTGGAGCCGCCGCCGGCTTCGGTTCGGGAACAACTGGCGCCAGGACGCGGCAGAAATCACCGTCACGGACGATCCTGAGTCCACCTCCATTGTACAGGGTCGGCCGTCGAGGAGTGGAGTCACGGTGATCTTGCCCTGGCTGCTGGTGCGATTTACGGCCGATGCGCTCGACAAGGTCGCCGTCAACTGGCAGCTTGCTTCCGATGCTGAGGAACGGGTCTTGCCTTGGGTGCTGACTGGAGTGCCCCTCTGCGCTGACCGGTTGTTAGTTGAGGGATCCTTCTTCGCTGATCTGCAGACTCTGGCCAGATGACCACGCCGCCCACACGCTCTGCAGTCGACATCACGAGCCCAACAGGAGCCGCGCTGGTGCTTCCCGCCACAACCGGAGCAAGGCTTGACGTTGGTAGTCTTCGCTGGGGTCCGCTTGCCTCGAACCGCGTTGACGTCATCATCCGCGTCTTCGCCCTCGCTGTCTCGTTGAGCGTGTATACTGGGCTCTGCCACCCGCTGGCGGACCTCCTTCGTGGACTTCTCCGCTGCTTCCGCGGCCACGGCCTCTTCGTAGGCCACTGCCCAGGTCAGGGTGGTGCGGGCGAACAGCCTCTGTTGCAGCCTTTCATCTTTGAGACCGCAGACGAGACGGTCTCTGAGGGCTTCCTCCACGTTGTGGAAATTACATGGCCGTGCGGCTTTGCGAAGGGCCGCCACGAAATCTGCGATGGTCTCGCCTCCGGCCTGGTTCCGCTTGTAAAAAGCGTGCCGGCAGGCGATCTCCGACGGTTGTGGAGAATAGTGAGCCTTAAGCTTCTCCGTGATGTCAGCGTAGGTGACAGTCTTTATATCAGTTGGGGCCACCAACGACCTGGCTATGTCGAAGGTCCCCTTCCCGCAGGAACTCAGGAGGCATGCTCGTTTCTTCGCCTCATCGGTGATGTCGTGGGTCTCCAGATGGAACTCGAACCTGGACAGGTAGGAGTCCCAGTCTTCTGAGGAGGGTTCGAAGCACTCGAACTTCTGGCTTCCAGCCATCGGGGGAGACTTGGGCACCGGAGCTGGTGGCGCCTCCGCCGGATCGGCTGCTGTGCTCTGCTCGCTTTCTTCCGAGTCCGAAGTGTGGATGTCCGCAGGGCTGCCTACCTGCTCTAACATCCCACCTTCGTCGCCAATTGTTAGATCGCGCTAACAAAGGACTCTTAGAGTGATTCAGCAAGTGATTCAGCTTTATTGGAAGTAACGAGCAAGCACTAACTCAGTAAGAAACCAGAACAGAAAACAGTGGGAGCTTATGCTCCTTTTAAACATAACCGGGCTAATGTAGCCACGCCTATTTACAAATAACAACCAATGAGATTGCTTGGATAAGGGCCAATGGGAGTCTTTCCCTCCTAGGGAATGGTATCGTTCTGATTGGTCGCTGTTACGAAGCGACCAATAGGAAGTTCGCTCAGAGGAGCCCTGGTCTGGCTCGAAGCTTAACATGGGAGTCCTATGAGGTGATTCATGTAATCATTTCAATACATTACAAATTGTGTTTAGCAGGGTTTTTTTTGCTCCGATTTGTTTTGCAACCAGCTACAATATACCAACAAATCACTTTTTGGTGATACATCAGTTTGGTATAGTGGTTAAGACCACGGACTCTAATCTGGGAGAACCGGGTTTGATTCCCCACTCCTCCACATCCAGCTGCTGGTGTGACTTTGGGTCAGTCACAAGTTATTTCAGAACTGTTTTCGAAAGAGCAGTACTCTCAAAAGAGGTCTCTCAGCCCCACCTACCTCCCAGGGTGTCATGGGGAGGGGAAGGGAAGGGGATTGAAAGGGGAGACTCCTTTGGGTAGTGAAGGGCAGGGTATAAATCCAATCTCCTCTCCCCTCTCCAATGTCCTTATTGTTTTGTCCTTCCAATAGGCTGTCTTCTAGTGAGATTGTCTTCTGGTAAGCTGCTTTGGATGCAAGATTCTTTTTGAAAAGTAGGGTATAAATACATTTATGAATAACAATGGGAAAGACTTAACGCATCTGTTAAGGATTTGTTTTTCTACCCAAGCAGTCTAAAGTAAATTGTCCCTCCCATACAAACACACAACGGAATCCAGATTGTCAGAGTAAAATGTGATGGGAGCATTGTACGGAGGAGTTAACACAGTATTTTTATTTATTTTTCAGGCCAACTGAATCTTCAAGAAGAGCCATGGGTGGGAGAAGTTCGACACAAGTAAGCAGTGAAGCTGAAGAGAAGTCTGCCAAGGAACAAGGAAACTTCTCAGATCTAACTGCATCAGGAAAAGCCACACTTGACATTGCCATCACGGGACTGACAGGTGCTGGTAAATCGTCCCTTGTCAATGCCTTGCGGGGTCTATCAGATTTTGAAGATGAGGCAGCCCATATTGATGTGATAGAAGGAACAACAGAGCCAATAGGTTACCTGCACCCCACCATTCCAGATGTCACAATATGGGACCTACCAGGAATTGGGACACCTGATTTTAAAGCTAAGGAATACCTGGAAAGAGTAAATTACAGCCAGTATGATTTCTTCATAATCGTTGCTTCAAATCGCTTCACCGTCTACGACATCCAGCTGTCCCAGGCAATTCAGAAAATGAAGAAGCAGTTCTGCTACGTGTGGTCCAAAATGGACATCAGCATTAAGAATGCCAAACTGCATCCAGACTTCAATGAGGAAGCAACCCTTCAAAAAGTCAGGAAATATTGCCTGGATAATTTGGTGAAGGCTGGTATTTCTTCTCCGGAGATTTTCCTAATTTCCAGTTGGTTTCAGGAAAAGTACGATTTCCCCCTCCTGCAAAGGACTCTGAGGAGACATATCTTGAGACCAGCTGACAAGTATGTTGGGTTTAATCAATTCTTGATTTGATTTTCTTTGTGTATGATTAAAAGTGTGCCTAAAAAAATGCAGACCTGGTTTGAGGGTGAAGGAGGGGGCAACTGCATGGATTAGAATTCACTATTTTTTGTACCTTTACCCCAGTTTAGAAGGCTGCACAATACTTTTAAGCATAGGTATAAGCAGGGCTATATTTGGGCAGGAACGCACGGGAACGGAGTTCCGGCTGGCTTCAGAGTTGGCCACGGCCAATACAGCCAAAACGTCTGTGCATGCATGGGTACAGAGGGAAGGCCTGGAGAGTGACCCCCCTGGCGACTCCAAGGTGGGCAGGCCAGCCCCCCCCCGGAAGGATCAGGGAGGCATTTAAATGCCTCCCCATGCCTTCCCCAGCCTGTCCAAGGGCCGGCTTGCCCGGATGCCCCACAACCACGGGGCGCCCAGGCAAGCCAAGGAAAGACATGGGGTGTGGCCTAATATGCTAATGAGCTGTGTGTCAGGGTGTGGCCTAATATGCTAATACGTTTCTGCTGTTGGCTGTGGCCTACTATGCTAATGAGTTTCTGCTGGGCTTTTTCTACCAAAAAAGCCCTGGGTATAAGTATATTATGACAATCAAATATATTCTATATATTTAGTACGTATAAATACACTAAATGAATTTAAGTCCCACTCTCATATGGCAAAATCAATGCACCTTTCTTTTCCCTCACCAGGTTTTGTGACTGCGGATTGGTGAAATGACCACGGGTGGAAAGAACAGTTATGACTCTCTTTCCCAGGGAGTGGCTCTAATCCCTCTGGGGCTGCATTTTAGGGTCAGAAAGAATTTAGGACTAGGGTTCCAACCACAGAATCACATCTCTTTTTGATGCAGAAAACTGATGAACAGAGTTCCAACTTTATCTTTGGATGCATTTCAGCATTATGCAGAAGGCTGCAACAATTGCAGGATCTCTGTAGACCTACTGTGAATCTCTAAAACCGATTCTATTTTGAAGGGCACCTGGTGGTTGCATTGGATTTTTCTCCCGATAAGATCCCTGTTCTGGTGGCTTTTCTGATAACTGTTGATGGTTGTTGTTATTGCTAGATTCAGAGGTCATTTCCAGCAGGAGCACACAGGAGCGGAGTTCCGGCAGTAAAGAGCCCAGGGGGCGGGCACATGCAACAAGCCCCACCCCCTGCTCCCAGCAGCCCTCAGTCAGAGCAAGAAGCAGCCAAGTAAGCTGCAGAGCCCCCCCCCAGCCCCCCAGTCCAAAACAGGCCAGTGGCACCTTTAAGACCAAGTTTTATTCAGGTACAAGCTCTCCCTCCTCTGTGAGGACAGATCTGCACATCCCCCCCCAATAGCTAGCAATCCAAAACAGTCCAGTGGAGCCTGAGCGGTGGGTGTTGCCTTCTGACACACTTCCGGTGATGTCAGAGGATGTGACATATGCAAAAAAGTTATGCTAATGAGCTCCTGCACCTTTTTTTCCCTACGAAATGACCCCTGGCTAGATTTATTGCTGTTTGTTACTACTGACATCTCTCCTGCTGGGCTGCTGCTACCTCTGGTGGTTTCCTGTTCTTAGGTTTTTAAGGATGGCAGTCTCTTTCAGGTTTTTAAAACTTTTATCTGTAAGCAGCTTCAAGTACTTGTTTAATAGACAGGTGAGGGTAGGAACTTCCTAAAACTTCCTAAAGAGAGTACATATTTCTTTTTTGTTTCTTAGATCAACCAAACCATCCAAAGAAAGTGGAATCCGTTTTATCTTCCTCCAAAAAATCTTAAAAATCGACCTTTCAAAGCTGAGGGATAAACTGATGAACAGAAATCTTGAGGAGGTGGCTGAGGAAATTCGTCAAGAATTGGAGGAATTACAAAATGCCAAGCTTGACATTGCCATCACAGGAGTCTCGGGTGCTGGCAAATCATCCCTTGTCAATGCCCTGAGGGGCATGACAGATTGGGAAGAAGATGCATCTGAGGTTGGAATAACGCAAACAACTATGGAGTGTCAAGCCTATCCACATCCCTTATTTCCAAACGTAACCATATGGGATCTACCAGGGATTGGGACCCCTGAATTTAGACCAAAGGATTACCTAGAGAAGGTCCATTTTAGCCAGTATGATTTCTTCATGATTGTCGGCTCAGAACGTTTCACTGAGAATGACGTCCTCCTGGCCCAGGAAATTAAGAAAATGAAGAAGAAATTTTACTTTGTGCGCTCCAAAATGGATGACAGTATGGCTGCCGAAAGTAGGAATCCAAACTTCGATATGGACACATCCATTCAGAAGATACGAAAACATTGTTATCATGAACTGACAAAGGCAGGAGAATCTAATCCAAGGGTTTTCCTCATCTCCAGGCGAGATTTGAGTATGTATGATTTCCCAGATCTGCAAGAAACCTTGGAAAATGACCTGGATGATCTCAAGAGACATGCCTTAATTCTGGCTATGCCCCTTTTCTCCAGAAAAATCCTGGAAAAGAAAAAGGCTGCTATGCATGCCCTTATATGGAAACTTGCTATTGTATCCAGTGTTATCGGGGCGATTCCTGTCCCAGGACTTTCTTTGGCTTGTGATCTTGGCATCTTGGTAGCAGCGCTGCTCCGTTTCTACAAAGTCTTTGGCTTGGATGAAGAGTCCCTCCGCAGAGTTGCAAAAGTGTTTGGCAAAGATTACCAAGTGCTAAAATCTGCTATCAAAAAGTCTCCCATGTCTAGTGAGATTACGCGCAAATTTGTAGCTGGCCTTTTGGCCCGGTCATTGCTTTGGGCCAGTGTGAGAGTAATAGAACTGGTCTTGGATTTTGTACCAGTGTTGGGGTCTCTGGTTGGAGGAGTTAGTTCCTTCGTCACCACATTCTTCATGCTGAGGAGTTTCCTGAAAAATATTGTAGAGGATGCAGAGAATGTTCGGGCAAAAGCTACTGAGCCTTGACCATCATGATGTTCCGTCACAAAAACCCAAGACACCAATTGGGAAAGGAATCTCAGGTGTAAAATGTGTTGAATTATTCACAGGACCAGAACTCAAGAATGAACGAATAAGGAAACTGGATTTGAATATCAGATGAGAAGGTTACTTTTTTTTAATTGACCCCCAATATAATTGAACGTTTTAGTATGAAATAACAAAAAAAATATTCTGTCTAGATGGTTCCAGATCTGAAGCCTCCTTTCCCCCTCCCTGCTGGTCCAAAGAGCCATTCAGGGCCTCTGAAGAATTGCAGGCACAGCACAATTCAAATCAGAATTTTCTCTTTTAAAAAGATACACGCTAGCTAATAGTATGTTTTTGTGACCTTCCTTTGCCTGCTTTGCACAGCAGCCCTTAGTCTGTGACAAGCTTTTTACCATAAATCATCTGTAGCCAGCATGGCCATGGCAAATATAACACATTTTTGAACTTTTACTCCTTTGATTTCAGTACCAGTCTTTGCATTTCATTAATAAATCTAACTTCTCATTCAAGTAAAGTGTGTGGTCTTCTGATTCAAGGGGGGGGGGGGTTCGGCTTAAGACTCTCTCCTGCCACACATTAACTCCTGGGTTCTCTCAGTCAAATTCAGGTTTTCAGGGCATTTAGGGAAGTGGGTGATTGAAGACTCGAATCTCACAGAGTGGCTTCTCACTTGGATCTGTCCCCAGTAATCTATGCCAGTCTGGCTGTTCCATAGCTCTCTAGGTGGAAGCAGGCTTTGGTTTGGGTGCATTCAGGGCCAGAGGTAAAGCTGAAGTCCTTAGATACCCATCAAATCCCATTTCACAAATTAATCCATGGCGTGCTGGGGAGAGGGGTAAAGATTCTTTGAAGAACCCCAGGGGCACGACAAATGTTCCCACTAATTTAACTGGGGCAGACAGTAGTTCATCTGGCCGATGATGCTCTTGGATTACTCTTAGCTTGCTCTTTAGCAACAGTTATTATTCTTATTAGTATTTGTATCATCAGCACCACCCTCATTTATAGCCTTCCTCTCTCACTGGGGCTCAAGGCAGATTACAAAATTCGATCAAAGAGCACATATCTCTAATTGAAGCAAAATACCAGTGCAGTGGGCTAGGACTGAAGAGCTGCAAAAAGATGCAGAAAAACCCACAAACAAAAAATGCAGTAGATTTCGGCAAAGGACTACTGAAGGCGACACAACTAAGGGTGCCGTCTGTAGGATACCTGTGACAAGAGCCAGGTCAGGAGTCAGGGGTTGCCAGGACCCCGCTGACCACTGATGGGGGATGGGGAGGTAGGATCCAGATTGGGAAACGAGGGCAATTAGAGTGGGCGAAGGTGGCCCCAAGGCCAAGCGCTTGCCTCTCCCCCCCCCCGCGCCCACAGGAGCCAAAGGCAAGGCTGCTCTCAGATCCAAGCCCCTGTTTAGCCTTGCCTCCCCCCCCACCTGCCCAAGCCACCAGGAGTGCCAAAGGCAAGGCTGCAGCTCCACCCTCAAAAACCCTGCTTCCCCCAGGCACTGTCCCCAGTCCTCCAGGAAATTCCCAAGCCAGAATTGGCAACCTTGCCGTATTAGAACCAGACATGGAACTAAAGGAGAAAGCCTCCCTTCGTGGGGAGGGGGGGGAGTTGATTTGGGATGGTTCCGAGCATTGTTTGGGTCCTGAGATATGTGAAGTCTGGCTCAGAATTCAGGCTGTTCATGCATTTCTCTGATGCTTATCAGCCTGGAAGGCGGACACTCCCCCTCCCTGCTGCTCACAGCCTTTTCTTGTCAGGGCAGCCGCTGAGAGGAAAACGAAAGCTAAAGGCCGCTCTTGGCCTAGGCAGCTTCTATTTCTTGTAAATCAGCTGACTGAGCAGCCAAAGTACAGGGAGGAGGAGTAAACAAGGCGGCATTCATGAGGGAGTGAACAAACAGTTTAGCTGGATTTCCTCGTCCAGTACACAGCAACAGTTACAGAGATGGCGACATAACCCAACCATATTTTAACTATATCAAGTATAAAGTAATTATATTAGCATACATACCTAATGCTTAAGAGTATATTATTGGACTGATTTTGGCCCCAGTCTTGTCTTTTGTATATAAGGTAAAGGTTTCCCTCGCTCGAAAGCCAGTCGAATCCGACTCTAGGATTGCGGTGCTCATCTCCGTTTCAAAGCCGAAGAGCCAGCGCTGTCCAAAGACATTTCCGTGGTCATGTGGCCGGCATGACTAAACACCGAGGCGCACGGAACGCTGTTCCCTTCCCACCGAAGCGGTCCCAATTTATCTACCTGCAATGTCTTGCTTTCGAACTGCTAGGTTGGCAGGAGCTGGAACTAGAGACGGGAGCTCACTCCGTCATGTGGCAGACTCGGGTCTCGAACGGCTGAACTACAGACCTTCCACAGCCTGCAGTTCAGCGTCTTAACCACTTGAGCCACCGCAGCTCCTGGTTTGTATATTGGGGAAGGCCAGTTCAGAGTTGCCCCTGGGCAGCCCTCAGATGGAATCTGTGCCCTCCCGATTCCTGGCACCCCTTTGCTATCTGTTTCGGAGGCTTTGGAAGGGCCTTAGCAACACCAGGCGCAACATTTTGACTGATGATGAAATGAGTTTGTTCCTCGGAGCCCTTTGCAATGCAAACTGAGGCCTGGCTCATGAAAACATTGGCTGGGATACATTTTGCCAGCCTTTGAATTGCCCTTGGACTCCTGTTTGCTAGAGGCCGGAGAGGCAGCCGGCAGGGATGCCAGCCTCCAGGTGGGACCTGGGGATCCCCCAGAATTACAGCTCGTCTCCAGACTGCAGAGAACAGTTTCCATGGAGAAAATGGTGCTTTGGAGGGTGAACTGTAGGGCACTGCACCCCAATGAAATCTCTGTCTTCCCCAGGCTCGACCCCAAAATCTCTAGAAATTTCCCAACCTGGATCTGGCAACCCTATCCTCCTTGGTGGCCAGGGAGGAGCTGGCAACACTATGTGAATGGCCTCAGTCGAACACTCCCCCCCCACACATGCAGCTGCTGGTGTGACCTTGGGTCAGTCACAAGTTCTCTCAAAGCTGTTGTTGCAAGTGAAGGGCGGGGTATAAATCCAATCTCTTCTTCTTCTTCTACCTTTTTCTCCAGGGAAACTGACCCCTGTTGTCTGGAGAGGTGAAGTGTCATTCCGAGAGAGCCCCAGGCCCCACCTGGAGGCTGGCAACCCTAATTAGTCCATCCAGCCCAATAGCCATTTCGCAGTGGGGAACTTTCTGGTTTCCCATTCATTCACTCCAAAACTCCCCCTGGAAATGGGGCAACCCCACCTCACAAAGATAGGCTGACAACACGAGCACTGATTCCTATTTATTCATTAGTGATGCCATGTCAACCTCCAGGTGGCGGCTGGGGATCTCCCAGCATTTTAACGGGACTTCAGGTTTCAGGGATCAGTTCTCCTGGAGCAAATGGCTACTGTGGAAGGTGGACGCTTGTCTATGGCATATGTACCATATGGAAGTCCCTCCCCGGGTTCTCCCCTCCCCATCTCCATGAATTTCCCAACCCAGACCTGGCAATCCGACTTCATATGCACCTCTGCCCATTCCCATGTGTAGAAAGGGTGCTCAGAGGGACTGGGAGAGGCAAGCAACACCCTCTTATCCCCCCCCACACACACACGTGTCTCAGCCTTGATAATTCCTTCTATCAGAAGCTGACCAAGTTAAAAATGAGAACACCTTGAGGAAAAAGGGGGAGGCAGAGTTTTGTTTGCCTTTACCCACGTGCAGTGCTCCCTCTAAGCTGTGGAGTCCTGTGAGCAAAAATTCCACTTCCTAAACTACCGAAATTAAAGTTGTGAACAGGTGATTTGGCTACTGGAGTTGGCTCTGGAGCCATCCTCCCGGAGCTAAGACAAAAATGGGTGAGCTGGAGGCTAAAAAACCGTGAGCTAAAACTCACACTAACTCAGTTTAGAGGGAACACTACCCACACGCTTCTTTTCCTGGATTACAAAGCCCCCCTCCGTTTGTCCTGTCAATTAATTTGCACATGAAGAAATACTCCCGGAATAAACACCTGCCGTCGCCTCCCTCTTTGTAAACCCGTGTATTCATTTTGTTTCTCTTGGGCCTGGCTGTATTTTTATCCCCCTTTCCAGCTCTGATTTCCGACTGGATTCAAGCGGGAAAGGTAGATCCAAAATGATCTTCCGAAGCAGGAACGGGTGGGGGCTCCTCAGGAGCAACCAGAAACCCCCCCCCCCGACTTAAGGCAAAGGCGGCGCCCCCAAGTGCTGCTGCTGCAGCTCACCCCCCACCTCTCCTTTAAAGTCTTCCTTATCTCCAGGCCCTGACTGGAGGTTGGCAACCCCATAATTGGTGGGCGGGGGGGGGGCAGAAGGCAGCCTCGCCTAGTATACAAAAAAACCTGGAGCCGGCCCTGCTTCCCCACTGATTCTTTGGACCCTTGACCGACAATGAATACGATGTTTCCTTTTTGGGATATCCCCCCCCCCCAAAAAAAAATAATCATCAAGAACGGCACTTGAGGAAGCCTCCTGTGAACAGAATGGCTGTTCTCTCTCTCTCTCATCTCCTTTCCCCCCCACGGGGTCCCAACCCTGACGTTGTCCTCATTTCCCCGTTTTACCCTCAACAACAACCCTGCGGGGAAGGCTCGGCTACCAGCTCAAGGTTACGCAGAGAGCTTCCACGGCAGGCGCGAAGCCTGGAGTCCAGCCCACAGTTAGGCGCTCGGACCCCTTCGCCACGCCGCCGACCTCCCTAACTTCCATCCTCCCGGGCGCGACGCGAGAACGGAGATACTTTCGCTTTCGCTCTCCGCCTACCCCGGGCTTTTACGGCTACCAAGAAGCGCAGGGAAGGCAAGAGGGGCTTCGGCAAGTGGGGAGGGAGAAGGAGAGGAGAGCGCCCACCGCCAAACCCACCGCCCACCCCTTGAATTCGCGGCCCCCCCCCCAGATCCTCCTGGCAAATTGGGCTGGTAAGCAGACTTCGCTCGCTCGCTCTTCTTCGCCTTTCTCTGCGTTTCCGCGGCCGCCGCCGCCTCCTCTTGCGCGCTCAGCCTTCGCCCAGGAACGGTTTCAAGTTGAGCCCGAGGATTCTCCCCAGTGGGAATCGGCTCCCCGGGCTTGGAAGGGCTGTCGGGGGAAGCCGGTTCAGCTTGGAACAAGCAGTGCCTTGTACCTCGTTGTCTCGGGAGGGTTAGGAAAGGAGCGGAAGGGTGAACGTCTCTTCTTGATGCCCGGCTTAAAAATAATAAAAATAACGAAGCCACGAGCGAGCTTTTGAATTTCCCCAGAGCTTTTCAATAAGATATTTAGGAAAAACCGAGAGGTGTGTTTGTGGGGGTGTCTTTCAGGATCTGACTGAAGAAGAGGCCCCACACACTGCAGTTTGCATTGCAACCGCGTTTAAGATGGAAAACAGGAAGTCAATAGTGTTTAAAGTGTGTATAGATAGTGTATAAAGACATCATGGCTGCGGGGGGGGGGGGGGTCTTCGCTTTGACGGTCTAAAACCCAGCCATCAATCGGATCCAGCTCTGAACGGGGTACCGTTTCAGGGGTAGGAGGCAGGGAGATCGCACTTAAAGGCCCACGGTCTAATATAGCTAAAAATAAGCTTTTTAAAAAAACATAGTATATTGTTAGAGTTGCTGACCTCCAGTTGGTGGCTGGTGATCTCCTGGGATTACAGTTGATCTCCAAGTGACAGAGATCAGTTCACCTGGAGAAAATGGCTGCTCTGGAAGGTGGACTCTATGGCACTGTACCATGCTGAGGCCCCTCCCCTCCCCAAATCCTCCCCCCTCCCCAATCTCGGGGTATTTCCTCACTTGGAGCCGGCAACCCTATGTATTGTTAAGGGCATTTCTTAGTGTTATAAGGCTTTAAGAGACCACAGAGTTCATTCTCCAGAGCCTCCTTATTCTCCAGGGGAACTGATCTCTGTAGTCTGGAGATGAGCTGTAATTCTGGAAGATCCAGATCCACCTGGAGGCTGGCATCCTATAAACCATGATAATAATGTGTACTTTAAAGGAAAAGTACAATATGAGCTTTCAGCGAGCTCATTTCACCCTTTCCCACTACCTGCATAGGTAAAAAGGTAAAGGTTCCCTTGCTCGAAAGCCAGTCGAGTCTTTCAAAGCTGAAGAGCCAGCGCTGTCCGAAGATGTTTCCATGGTCATGTGGCCAGCATGACTAAACACCAAGGCGCACGGAACGCTGTGACCTTCCCACCGAAGTGGTACCTATTTATTTACTTGCAATTTCTTGCTTTCAAACTGCTAGGTTGGCAGGAGCTGGAACTAGAGATGGGAGCTCACTCCATCATGTGGCAACCCAGGTCTCAAACTGCTGAACTACTGACCTTTCACAGCCTGCAGTTTAGCATCTTAAGCACTTGAGCCACCACATAGGTACATCCAGACTATGTGTATATTCACTTACTAGAAGGAAGTCCATTTGTGCTCAGTCCGGCTTGCTACTGATAGATCTTTCTACCTATAGCCAGCTTTTGGGGGGAGGTGGCTTGCTGAGCCCGTGAGCCACATCCCTAGACTCCCATGATGCCCTGTTGTTTAAAGGGTGAGCATCTGAATGACAAATACCCATTTTGATTGTTTCAGGCCGGTAGCTATGTTGATCTGCAATAGAAAGAGCAGGAATCATAGAGTTGGAAGGGACCTCCAGGGTCATCTAGTCCAGCCCTCTGCACAATTCAGGAAATTCACAAATACCTCCCCCCCACGCCCCCAGTGACCCTTGTTCCACATCCAGAAGATGACAAAAAATCCTCCAGGCTCTCCAGCCAAACTGGCCTGGAGAAAAATTGCTTCCTGACCCCAAAGTGGCAATCAGCATTTCCCTGGGGGTGTATGAAAGGGGCCACAAGAACTAAGCACTGAGGCAACCCTCCCTGCCCTCCCCTCATGATCTGCAAAAGTTCACAGGATCGGCATTGCTGTCAGATGGTCATCTAGCCTCTGCTTGAAAACCTCCAAAAAAAGAGAGCCTGCCACCTCCCGAGGAAGCCTGTTTAACTGAGGAACCCATAACCTTCAGGAACTTCTTTCTAATGTTTAGTCAAAAACTCTCCTGATTTAATTTCAACCAGTTGGCCTGGGTCTGACCTTCTGGATTTAAGTAGCCCCTTAGAGACCAATGAGATTTTCAGGGTTAGGCGAGTCAGAGAGCGTTTTGGCTCTCAAAAGCTTGTACTCTGTAAATCTTATTGGTCTCTAAGATTGTACTGGACTCAAACAGCCATTTGCACTGTGTGTTCACCTGCAAAATCCAGTGTAATCTTTGAACCTGCCTTATGCGGACTCACACTTTTGGTTCAACTGCCTTGGGCTGCGGTCACACGGAACATTAGCCACGCAAGAGAGACGGAAGACAGGCGGATTTTCCGGGCGCGATCTCACCAGCACATCTGGGAAGCATAGCGCTTCCGTGGCACAACCGAGGCTTCCCGGCGAAAAGGCGCAGCAAAAAACTAGTACCTCGGAGGTACTAGTTTCTTGAAACCGCGGGGCAAGGGCGGGCGTCTGATCACGTTTCCGGTGGCATCCAGCGCCCGCCCATGTCCCCGTGCACAAAAGGTCCCCCCCCAAGTCTCTGTGGATGCGCACACGCACCCAACGGAGCATGCGCATTTGTCGTGTACACAAAAAAAGAAAACCAGTTTGCCGCACCGCGCGCTTCTTTGTTGCACGCAGGCTTGTCCTGTGATCGGCACCTCTCCCTACCCACAGAACCTCCACAGGACCTCCACAGGAGGTCTGATTGCTTAACCGCGCGTTAGTTTGCCCCGGGGCAAACAGCAACGCTTCCCCCCCCCCCGACTTTTCCCTGCCCGTGTGACCGGAGCCCCTGTGTTGTTAATATTGGTAACAGTTCTTCAGGGTGATGGAGGAGGTTGCCAGGAACTATACCTGGGACCTTCTGCATGCAAAATAGGTGTGTTGCCGTGGAGATACTGCCCTCCCCCCTTCAATAGTTCTGGGCCATCCTTTATCCTTGCTGACATACAGTGGATCAAATCTAGAGGGCCAAAAAGAGTCAGGACCGGGTCAGGATCCCTGCATGCAAAATTTCACCCAGGGGATGAAATTCTTCTCCCTGCCATGAGCAGTGTTCCCTCTAAGCTGAGTTAGTGTGAGCTAGCTCACAGTTTTTTAGCCTCCAGCTCACACATTTTTGTCTTAGCTCAGGAAAGATGGCCCCAGAGCAAACTAATTTATGCAGTAGCCAGATTGCTCACTCACAACTATAATGCCAGCAGCTCACAAAGTAGGATTTTTGCTCACAGGACTCCACACCTTAGAGGGAGCTTTGAGTTCTTTCACATCAGGAGGGTATCAAGGAAAAAAAATCAGAGGAGCAATAAAGTGATAACCTTTTAAGGACAATGTATGGTGGAACCAGCTTTCAAAACACAGAAAGTCCATCTTCAAAGGGAAAAATTCATTTTGGGGGGGGGAAGTGTGATGGTGTGACACAAACCCCCTTTATACTGTCAGTTCTGTGACAGTCTGTGTGTCAGGACCTAGTCAGAGTTAGATTTTATTTTTCCTGACCAGTGCTCTACACCCAATGTATAATATTCTCTTAAGGGTTTGTATATTTCAGGCTGTCTTCTTTGAGGACTACTGCCCAGTATATAGCTCCCCAGAAGGTCAGGCACCAATAGTTATAACATTCCAAACCGGCACAGTTATTTTATTGTTGCACAGAAAACACAACAGGAGGATGGGATATATATTTACACGGGATGCTCAGATACTTAGTTTGTTTTTGGTAAACATTTTATTTTTAGGATACATTCAACAAAGTTCAACACTTGTATTACAATTCTTATCCCTTTATATCCTACCCTCCTCCCTTCCCCCCCCCCCATGTATGGCTTCCCACAGTGCTACAACCTCCTGCATAATCCTTAGGTTACTCTTAAGTACTCCTCTTTATCTCTACACATTCAACAGGTAACTTGTTTTTTCACAATTCTCTATGCTCAATAGTTATCAAAGCAAAATAAATTGTCTCTCACATCCCAATATTTTTCCAAGTATTCTTTTAAGTCTTTCCAGTCTTCAAAAAAGTCTTCTGCTGCCATATTATTCAGTTTCCTTGTCATCTTATCCATTTCAACCATAAAAAGTAGTTTTTTTGATCCTTTTAATCCATTCTCCAATTCCAGGAACTTCCTCCTGTTTCCAACTTTGCGCATATGTCATTCTGGCAGTCACAATCGTATACCACATAAGCGTCCTTTTCGCCACATTGACCTGTTCCATTTTAAGTCCCAAAAGTAATATTTCTGGTTCCTTTTTAAATGTGCAGTTAACTATTTTTTCCATCTCTGCATGAATCTCAACCCAAAACTTCTTAGCTTTTCCACATGTCCACCACATATGGTAAAGCGAGCCTTCTACTTTTTTACATTTCCAACATTTACTCGACATATTTGTATTCATATTTGCAATCTTTTTTGAAGTCATATACCGTCTATACATCATTTTATAACAGTTCTCTTTTAAATTATTACATGTCGATATTTTCAAGGCACTCTTCCATAAATATTCCCAAGATGACATAGGAATTTCCTTATTCATATTTATTGCCCATTTTACCATTTGCTCTTTAACTACCTCGTCCTCAGTGTACCATTTTAACAATATTTTGTACATTTTTGAGATAAGTTTCTAACCTCCCTCCAACCACAAATTCTCTATATCCTTATATTTCCCTCTAAAGCCAAAGGTCTTTTTGTCTTTTTTAAACAAATCATTAATTTGTCTATATTGGAACCAACCATATTTAAATGCTAGATCTTCTTCCATTTTCATTTCATATGTCTTTCCCACAGGCTTCAACATGTCTTTATATTATACCCAATCTTCTCCTTTATATATCAAAAAAGGCTTTATCACCTCTGTCGGTACAATCCAAAGAGGTCTCTGATCAGAAAAAAACCTTCTGTATTTAATCCATGTATCAAAAAGTACTCTCCTGATGTAATGATGCTTAAAAAGACCATCCATTTTCACCTTCTCGTACCATAAATATGCATGCCATCCAAATTTGCAGTCATGACCTTCTAATGCCAACAATTTCTTATTGCTTAAAGTGGCCCACTGCTGCAACCAAGTTAAACACACTGCTTCATGGTACAACCTCAAATTTGGCAGCTGGAATC